CAATATATATATATATATATATATATATATATACGTATTCAATCGATCTATATTTAAATCGAATTTCATGTTAATCTATCATTAATTACGAGTGCTTATGTTTTCTTTTATCTATTTTATCTATTTTATGAATATAAGATCTCAAGTAATATAAGATTATTTGCTTTTTATTATTTTATTATTTATCAAATTCGTAAAGATATAGATATACAAACAAATAAATAAATAAATCAATGAAGAAGTAGAGTAGAGCAAAGGCAATATAAAATCGAAAGTAAAACGAATATAAATTGAATCAATGGGAAATCTAAATGAAACGAATGATAAAGACGAAGATCGTAATACGGCGAAAGATTATTTCGTATATATTTTTCTTGAAATCGGAAAAGAATTTTCATCCCAATTCGAAAGCGGACAACACTCGATTCGATCAACGATGACCGGTGGACCGAAGAGTGAGACAGAAACGGCTGTTAACTCAGGCGACATATCAACCGAATGCAAGAGAAGGCAACGCGTGGGCGCGCGCGCGCGCTGCCGTTTCTATCGACCAGATTTTCGTCTCTCCTCCTCTCGTTTCCTCACCGGTCGCGGCCTCCCTATGCATTCCGCTAGAATCCTAGCCGTGGCAACGCCTCGTCACTGCCTCGATCGTCTTCCGGGAATTACACCTAACTAACCGGTCTCCCACGTGGCCACGTGGAGAACACGAGGAAAACAAAATTGTACGATCTCCGATCTCTCCGCTCTCCTATCCGAACTGCGATTTTTTCCACTCGATTCAAACCCAGTTTCCCCCCATCTTCCCATCCCGTGTTTCAGATTCCACGCTAAGTTTCATTCGGCCAATTATATAAAATTGTCATCGGGCAACCTGTATATAATACATATATATATATATATACACACATACATGCATATATATATATATGCATGAAGATGAAGATTGAACAAATGCGGTAACGTGACAAATGGTGATAGTGTTGGTGAATACGATTCCTCCTATATTTTTCGTACATGTCGTTCACGCGGTTCGGTGGATTTGATCGGTCTTGTCCTCGGTTCTCGTGCGGGGATTGAACGGAAGGGTGTTTCGCCAGTGGCAGGAAAATTGGACGAGAATGATGCGTCGAATCTGATTCTTTTGAAAAAAAAAAAAAAAAAAAAACGGTGGAGAGATGGAGGGGATGATAAAGGGTGGTAAGCGAAAGTGACAAGAAATTTGACTCGACAATCATCGCCATCCATCCTCATTTAAAATGCATCGAAACGTCAGTTTCGTTACGTTCAAGTGCGCAAAATTGAAATCTTCCTGATGTTGGACGACGTCGAATCAAGGCGTTTAGTGATCCGTTAAACTATGTCAAATTGAAAGATCGACGAATTATGCCGACACACATACAAATTATCATCAACTTCATATGAAGTCCACGGAGCGTTGCACAACTATTACAATACTGGTTAACACGCTTCGTGTATATGTTTTTAATTTTTGTTTTTTTTTAAACGAAAAATGTATTTGAAAAGTGTGGGGATATTAAGTGATTTTCGGTCACTGTAAAAATGTCTTGCAAACGTCTCTGATATATGTCAACCACGATTGATTAATAAAAAAAAAAAATTATGGAACTGAAAATTTTCGATTTTTATATACAACAATAATGATAATAATAACGAAGTGTGTCGGAACTCGATCAGTCTAAAATATCGATATACACATTTTTTTATCTTAACAACATTTTTTAAAATCCGTAAAAAATCTAAATCAATAGTGCTTATCGTCGTAACATTGTTTCCAAGCAATTAAGTTGATTAAATTGGGAAAAAAATACTTTTGCCAATTTTTATTATCGATCACAAGACCACGCCTGAAAGTTAAATTTTATCGTTACAAATAATCCTGATTACGGGATGACGTAGAAGGAAAATTGGCAACAGAACAGTGATATATCAAGAATTCTGTGTGCAATTTTATCAAACATGCCTGGACTTGGGATCATTTCGATAAAGGATGACGGTGAAAGTGAAGGAAGTGAAGGTGTCAAAAAAATCGATCGGTAAGCCGGTAAATAATTATTTTTATATAATTTATATAATATATTTTATATAATATATAACGAGAGATTTCAATTTTTTAATGTCGTTGCGATAAATTAATTTCTCTCTTTTCTTTTCATCTTCTTTTTTTTTATTTTTTTTTTTTATTTATTTTCCTTATTCATCCCGTGAATTATTTCTAATTTCTAATAATAATAAAATATTCAGTAACAATTACATCACGTGCATATATATATATATATATATATACAATTTTAAATAATATAGTTCGAGAAGAAGAGTTTATCGTAAATTTCCATATCAAGTGAAGATACGATAACGATTGAAAATACCATTTGCGATAAAATTTACATCGGATAATGTATACACTCATACTTGCAGTATCTTTTAATCACTCGAAATCGACAAACGAAAAAGGTTCTCCTGGTATGTGCGATCAATCCCAAGACGAGGTAAGTCGTCGAAATGTTTCTCTTCTTTTCTTTCTTTCTTTTATTATGAAACGGATAATATCCTCTAGCTACTTTTCGCGAACCAAGGGAATCAAATTTCTTCTAGAAATTCGCCCGTTTCCGCATATCTGTTCTGCATTTTCCTCGTCGCGAGTTCGTTCGTCGACGCGAGATTTAAATATTTCGTCGATGTTGTTTCCTTCGCATTCTATAAATACCAGGCGATCTTTTCGAAAACAATGAAATTTAAATTTTAAATAAATCGATAATCGAAGTTTCTCCCGAGCGAAACGAAATCGAACGCGATTCGAAGCTATTTATAATTATAATAATCGCAAGGGGATCACGATTAGGGACGTAAAAAGTGAAATTTTTCGCAGTGGAAAAAGTAAATTTTTTTGTGCGAGAATTGTTTTCCCGAGCGAAATGAAATCAAACTGTTTATAATTAATGTGTCTAATTATAAAATTATTTATAATCAATCACAATTCAAATGAATTAGAACTAGTAAAAAGTAAAATTTTTCGCAGATTTTTTGATCGACGATTGTTTCACTCAAAAATCTCGATTTTTACGCAAAACGATAAACGCAACTAACGTACCGGTTTTCTTTTAAGAAATTAAGAGAAAAGTGATAAATTGGGGTAATTGTACAAATTTTGCAAACTGTTTGTAAATATTGTTCGCGAATTTTGATATTCATCATTGATAACATTGATCATTGATCTATCATTTATCTTGTTATTGGATGCAGTGATACGTCCAAAAAGAAAGCAATATCCTAAATTATTTCGAACGATTCGCAAACTTTTTATAACTATCACTATTTTCGAGAATATTGTTCGTATAACAACATTCATTAATTTATCAACTTTTTACATAAGTTCGTCGGTTGTGTTTATTATACATTTTCCTATTTTTAGAACGCAATTTGTAAAAAAATATCAAGCAATTGGCAACAATCGGGAATAGATAAGTAAACAAAAATACATTTTTTTTTTCTAGAAAATTTTCTATCGAAAGTTAATTGAAGAAAATCAAAAAAAAAAAAAAAAATCGATCTTTTAATCAGAATAAAAATTAATTTATATCCAATAGCTATATGATTCGAAACCGTTAAGCCATTTAATATCTTAATCCTTTTTCCTTAGTTACATCCATTTGATTATTTACTCGATTTATTTCGATCCTTAAAATTGAGAGATCGTTAATAAATAAATAAATAAATAAATAAAAATGTATCAGAAATAATATTTTCTATAAGTATACAATTATTTTTATTGCATCTCATATTTTAACATATATTATTTTATATTATATTTTAACATATAACATTATAACATAAATGTATATTGATTTGTTATCTTTCCTTTTTATAAACGAAAATAATATTATTATCTTTCTATTTTTTTGCTTTTCTTACATGCGATATATTTTATATTAGATTAGATTATATTAGATTTTATAATCATTTCAATAACAAGAGATATTCCGTTAAATTTTTTCCAATCTTTATAAATTTTTTTCTTTTAAAATTATTCAATTTTTTTAATCTTTTGAAGAAACATTTAAAATAAATATATATATATATCCTTTCAACTAATATTTGCATGATAAAGCTATCTAATCTAAAGATCTGTTCAAATTCTATCGAGAATGGGCGAAATGTATTTAAATTATGTTTGATAAAACTCGTTAAGATAACGAAACGATAAATTTATCTTATAAATTATTATTTTGCAAAGATTTAATAAAATTTAATAAAAATTATATCGATTATATTTATATCTAAAGAAAAATTTTTATGTTCAGGTTGTGTTTCGTGGTAGCAAAAGAGTGCTAAATAATGAACATAGCACTTTCAATTTCGAATTCGATAACAAAATATATACGAGTCATTTACGGTTACGAAAATGGTTGATAGGATTGCTGATCTTCTTGTTTATCTCGCTAATTGTGATTAATACATTCAACACGGATCAATTTCGAGTGATACGATACGGAGCCATTGGGGTCAATGATAGTTCACAAGGTATTTAAAAAAAAAAAAAAAAAAAAGAAAAAATAAAATAATTCCTCTATAAAAGTTCATATGTATTTAAATATTTTGAACGAACATTTCGTGTTTTGCAAATTATTGGATGGAACAGAAATATTGGAAAATTCTGTTTCGAACGCTTAACAGCGAGTTAAAAAAAAAAATTATTTTTAAATATCGATAAACTTGAATAACAGTCAAATACTTGATCAATGCCTTTTTCCTTTATTTTCAGAAAATTATGTAGAATTGAAACCTTTCTTGGCTTCTATAACCAACTCTGGTTTCCTGGTCCGCAACAAAGGTTGCCGAATCCCAGATATGGATCCTTTCGACTCGGCGATCGTACAATACATTCAAAGGGAGAAACCACTTGTCTGCGAGCACGGAAATCATTTACCATTGGTCGATTCAAACGACACTGCATTGCACGTAAATCCAGACGCGATCAACCATTTTTACAATAATTCGGAGGAGATCGATTGCTGTTGGCGCCCGTTCTGGCGAATGAAAAACGAGGATAACGTTGTTACGTCAGTAAGACTGATCATTCTATCTCTATTATGATACTAATTTCTAAACTCATATCAATCTCTTTTTATCAACTCGAAAAAATATCGTTTCTCGTTTAAAAATAAAAAAATTCAATTAATGCCGTGATTTATTATTAATCCAAATATTTGATGTATTACAGATATGGAAACGAATGTTTCAAATTCAAAAACTCAACGATTGTGAATACCGAATTCGTGAAGATCGAGTGTTCGCGCAATAACGAAGTGATATACAAGGATTATCACGCATTCGTGCCTCGTTTCCGATCAGTGGAAAAGAAATGCGAGAAAGCCAGAGCTGCCAATTCGAAAACCGAACATCTTAGCGTATTAATAATCGGCCTCGATTCGGTTTCCAGATTAAATTTTCATAGAATGATGCCGAAAACTGTCCATAAGTTAGAAGAGCTTGGAACGGTAGAATTGTTGGGCTATACCAAAGTGGCCGATAACACTTATCCGAATTTAGTACCTGTTCTGAGCGGGTTATCCGCTGGCGAATTGCACGATTTGTGTTGGCAAAAGAAAGATAAAACGTTTGACGAGTGCCCCTTGATTTGGAAAAATTTTAGCGCGTTTGGTTATCGAACAGCTTTTGCCGAGGATGCTTGCGCCATGACCACGTTCAATTATTTGAAACGAGGCTTTCGAATCCAACCGACCGATTATTATCTCAGACCATTCTGCATAGCGTCCGAGAAGGATATCGGCAATACTCACAAATTGAATGCGAATCTCTGCGTAGGGACCAGAAAAACGTTCGACAATTTGTTAACTTACACGAAGAAAATCGTCTCGCAATTTTCCGCGGATCCATACTTTGCGATGATTTGGCAGGCTAGCTTAACCCATGATTTTTTCAATTATCCACAATTGGGCGACGAATCTTACTACAATTTGATCACGTATCTTTACAACGAACGATTGATGAACAAAACGGCATTGATAGTGATGAGCGATCATGGAATGAGATGGGGAAGTTTTCGGCAAACTTACCAAGGTAGAATGGAGGACAGTCTTCCTTTCGTGTTTCTCGTATTGCCCCGTTGGTGGAGAGAAAAGTATCGAGTGGCTTGGACAAATTTACGAAGAAATACGCGGAGCTTAACTACAGCCTTTGATTTGCACGAAACTTTGATAGACATAATGAATCTCGAAAATCTAGAAGAATCACGTCTTAAGACTCGTTCAAGAACAATGCCGAAAGATAACAATTTGCCACGCGGGATCAGTTTGTTTTTGCCGATTCCTGACTATAGGACGTGCACAATGGCGGGTATTGCCAGCCATTGGTGTATGTGTCACAACAGTTATGATGTTTCTGCGCAGGACGAGAATCTCAGAGATAAAGCGATGTTTTTGGTCTCGGAATTAAATAACATGTTGAAGAAATTCGTGCAATGCGCGATTTTGAAACTGAAAGAAATTAAAGCCGCGAAAGCGTGGAGGGACGAGGATGAGCAAAGTCTCGTAGATTATACGATCACGGTTGAAACGGAACCTGGTAACGCGATATTCGAGGGCACAATACGGTACAGAAGCGAGAACAAGACTAACAAGTTGGTAGGATCGGTTAGTAGATTGAACGCATATGGGAAACAGAGTGCCTGTGTCGATGAATTCAATATGAGGCTATATTGTTATTGTTTATAAGTTTCAATTTGTTCGATATTTTTTATTATTTTTCTTTCTCCCTCTGAAGAACTTTCTCTTTAAAAAAAAAAAAAAAACAACTTTACTCAGGATTTCGGTAGTATTGAATGAAGTTAGTACGGTAGCCAGTATACTGGGACAAAAAAAATCACACTGTGATAAAATACTTGCTTTAAATACGTAATGATAATTCACGGCAATTTCGTGCTTAACAAATGAAGTGTCAACTAATGATAATATTATTATTTCTATTATTATCATTATTTTCTCCATGATTTATTTTCGATGAAAATTCGTTCGATGCCAAATTATATTAAATATCGTTCAGTTATTATTATTATTATTTATATTTTCATTCCTGTGCTTTGTTACGATCTTTTCAGAGAATTTGTTTCTTATATTAATATAAATGATCGATAATCGATGCCAATATTGTTATTATTTATTTTATTTTTTATTTTTTAGAATTATTTTATATCTCTTGATAATGATAATTATTATTATTATTATTATTATTATTGTTATCATTATTATTTTTTCATTACATATAATATAAAATATACGTTAGTAATTAATGCACAAATAAATAATAAATATAGTATAAGTGTATCTGATGCGGTGCAACGATTATTATAGTGATATTATAGTGAATTCAAATCTAATCATGATAGTATTGATATAAAGGTGTTGATATTAACACGTTCAAGTATTTAAACATGTTAAGTGCCGCGCTTTCGGTGTGACTTTCCGTTCAAGCTATGATGCATATATTGTCATTTGTTTAGAAATATCAGCAGCTTGAATGGAAAGTTCAATATAGGAATACATATGTAAGTATATACAATGAGATTCATGCGCTTTTCAATATGTTAAAATTGTGTGCATTGCATGCATGCATTTGGTCTCTACTTCAACTATCCTATATATATTATGCATTGCTAAGAGGAAATTTCCCGATGATTTTTCGAGACGATACAAGAGCTAAAAAAAATATTTTATATGTATCATATATTGCTAAAAAGAATGTAAATCTAATTGATTTCAGATTAATTTCCGGATAGACGAAACAATTATAAAAATAGATACGAATATTGATCAAAAATCTTCTATCAATAAATTACATTATCATATATTAATATTGTATGGTAATAAGTGAAAATGCAAAATATTATTTTCCTTGCTTTTAGCAAATACAGCATTTTGATATAACTTTCTAGCAATGCATAATCGTACATAAATAAGTATGAAATTTTAATTGTAAAATTTCCATTTTTATTTTAAATGGTTTATTAAAAAAGATAAGATAAATCTTTAAGCAAGGATTATATTCCAAAAAATTAAAAATTATTTTTTCAATAAAATTACACATTTAAAAAAAAATAATTAAACAAAGATCACTTTATACATCTTTCATACAATAAGTTTTACAAAATTCAAATTAAAATATCTTATAAATTATAATAAATTTTTGTTTATAAAATAGATTAATATCTTTTTATTAAGAACAGTGTACTGCATCGATTGATTAAAAATTATATAATTCTGTTTAAAAAAAACAAAAAATTAATCTTCATATAATCTTTATATGTCTGTAAAGAAATTATTAATATAAGGTTATGTTTTTAAATTATTACTTTATTCATCCTTTATATAAATTAAAATATGATAAAGATTTTCATATTTGGAAAACTATTTTTTTTTCTTTATGAAATATAATATCATATATCATATTTCCCTTTTTTTAGTAAACCATTTATGATTGTAATAATAAATATCGAAAACGTAAGTATTATTATCTATATACAATATAATTAAAGATGTAATTTTTTTAAGTTATTTATTTATTAAAGTAAAAATAATTTTAATTTATTTATTATTATTATATATTTTTTAATTTATGTAAGTAAAAAAACAAGAATGTTTTTTTTTTTACGTTGGATTAAATTACGAATGTTTTTAAATATATTTTTAAATATAATATATTAAATGTATTTTTGTTAAATACACTGTGATCAACTTTAAATTAAATTTAAAAAACAATTCTGAAATAGCACATCAGGAGAATAGAGAAAGGAGTCTTTCTTTATTTGAATAGGATATGTATTCATTTCTATTATTATATCGCAAAATAATTGTAAATGTAAAATTTATTTAACTTTGTTTTAAACATCTAATTATATACTCAAAATTAAATATTTAAAAATATGACAATGAATTTTTTTACAGTTCTTTATATGATGTAAAGATATGTCAAAAATCATATCAAATCTTAAAATGTCCAGTATATCATTTGATGTTTCATTATAAAGTTAATATTTTAATTATATGAGGTATAACTTAAAGATAATTTAAATATAAATTTTTTATAATTTTTTTTATAAATTTAAAAATTTTTTTATAATTAATTTTATATATTGAATGACAAGTTAAAAACACTTGTTGAATAAAATTAATTTTGCTTTAAAAAGATATAATAATTTATAAATTTACAAGCTTTGAATTGAATCGTTAATTTTTTTTTCAATTTATTTATAAAAGAAAATATATTGCAATTTATTTATTTGTGATTTTAAAAAAATTTCTAAAAGTTTTATTAACAATATTTGTATTCATTCAATTTTTTTTTAAATTCTATTTAAATTTAATTAAAATATAAATTAAGAAAGTAATATTATTTGATATACTTACATATATTTTTCAATAGTCTGCAATTCATCAAAAAAAAATGTTTCATAATTCTTGTTATGTTTAAATAATGTTTTCTTAATTAATGTTTTCTAATTGTACAAAATCATATTTATATTTATTCGAAGTTTAAACACAAAGATATAAACATTCAAATGAATTCATTTAAAATTTTTGAACACTAATTTTTAATATAATTTTATTAATATAATTATAATGGATTGGTGATATATTTGGAACAGTCATATAAACTGAAACTAATAAAAAATATAAATATGTATATTAAAATTATGATAAAGATACAAAAATTATTATTTATCTATAATCTTCTTTTTATAAGAAGATATTTAAGATTACTCAATAAAACAATATAATATATGTATCTAATAAAAAAATTGTATTTTAATTTTTGTAAATGGAATGTACACAAAGGTACTGAAAAAAACCTTTGTAAAATATAATGTAATGTATAATTTAATATAAAAAATTTTTTAATAAAAATCTAAAATGGAAGTTAAATAATTGAATAATTCTTATTTGTTATAGACGTTGGATGATGTTTTACATTTTATTGCAAATAATATCAATAGAAAAATTGTAATACAATATTTTGCTAGTTGTTATTAAATCATGATTAGTGAGTATGTCTCACTTTTTAAATGCAAAATTTTTTTATGTAAAACACTCATACATTACCCACGCATTAAACATAAAATAATTTATTTTGTTAAATAAAATGCTCAACCATTGCTGATGTTTATGTAAGTAATTGATAATAATATACACATATATATATGACCAGTCTCTTATAATAAAAAAGGAAGTACATGTACTTGCAATGGTTATTGTGTTTGCTACATGTATTCACTTCAAATTCACTGACTTAGTACTTGGTTACCAAACCTGTTGGTATCCACTTTTTAAAGAAGTGAAAACACTACTTGGTGTAGATACACACAAGTCAACACACGCATTTTAGTTGTATGCACTCTTATCACCTTGTACATGTATTGCATTTAAAGTTCTTAACTTCCACTTATTCCATTATAAATTCGATTTACAGAATCTTGTTGGAGTAGATTTTTTATTTCTGAAAGAAAAATAAAAAAAAATCAACAATTGGAAAATTATACGCTTAATAATAATTTACCTTCTTTCTGTATATCTGTGAATTCCGTTTCAGGGAATGCAACATCAAATGTAATATACAAAGTGCCATGAAGATTGTTATTCTCATAATTAGGCATTCCTTCTCCTTTTTTTCTAATACGAGCTCCTGGTTTAGTTACTTTATCTCTTTGAATAGTCACTTTATGACCATCCAAATGTTCTATGTCCATTTTAAAACCTATTAAAGCATCTTGCATAGATATAGTAATATTTGTGTACAGATCATCACCGATTCTTTCAAAAACTGGATGTGGTTGTGTTCGTATCTTTAAAATTAAATCTCCAGGTTCTCCATCTAAATGTGGTTCACCTTCTGCTGTAAATTTAGTTTCTTGGCCATCCACCATTCCTGGTTCAACTTCAACCTCTAATATACGTTCCTCAGTAACAAATTTAACATTTGGACATTCTGAACAAACCGATTGTTGCATCATTTGAAATCTTCCATTTCCTAAATTGCGAGTAACCAATTCTTGTCTACAATTACATTTCCTTGTTCCTTTTGCAGCCTTCATTACTGGCTTATTTCTTGTTATCTAAAAAAATTTTACAATTTTTTTTTTACATATTCTAATTTTTTTAAATAAATAAAAAATTTTACCTCTATGAAATTTCCACTATATAATTCTTCTAAAGTGACTACTAAATCCATTATAATATTAGAACCCTTAGGTGTTTCTTGCTGATGATGAGATTCTCCACCAAAATGAAAGCCAAAATCACCAAAAAAACTTGCAAATGGATCAGCATTATTCATCATACCATCTTTTTTTAAACATTCTTCTCCACATTTATCATACATTTCTCTCTTTTCATTATCTGATAGTACTTCATAAGCTGCACCCAGATCTTGAAATTTTTGAGATGCATTTGGATCATCTTTATTTTTATCAGGATGCAATTCTTTTGCTAACTTTCTGTATGCCTTTTTTATTGCATGTTGGCTTGCTGTTGATGATATGCCTAAAATGGCATAAAAATCTCTTCTGCAAAAATTTCAATCTTATTAAAATTTATTATATATTACAAATATATGAAATTAAAATTTGGAAATTAAGAAATTAAGAAATTATTCAACATCAAATATCTATGTATGTACATGTGTATTATTATAAAAACATATCATATAAATAATAAAAAAAATAATATTATTTAATAAAAATATTTAAAAATTCTATTATTTATTGTTTTTCAAAAAATTTATTGTATGCGTTTCATATTAATAGCTTTTATAAATGATTAACAAAATAAGAGGTTATAAAGTCATCATGTGGCAAATATTTTTACAAATATAAAAATAATAAATTTTATAAATAAAAAGAAAGTTTTTTTACGTACCCTGCTACAGTAAGAACCACACATATTATTAAATTTATGAAAAGAGACCAAATCAATTTTATCGCTGCCATTCTAGCAGACGTTACAACAAACATCGGAGTTTAGATGTGGGTATTCCTGATTGGTGCATCGAATTCAATTTATCCGATTTTGATCGACAATAAACGACTTTTTAGGCATATACATATTTAGCGAAAATATTTAGATTTCACTCATATCAATTAAAAGTAATTGGTCGAATTTAATTTTTATATTTTAAAATTAATTTCATATATCAAGTAAGATTTGAATAAATTTAATTTTTAATGTTTAGTTTCATTTAACTTTTTTTTTTATTATTAATTTTCATTTTTATTAGTTAAATGAAATAAATATTAACAAGCAACAGGTGGAATATTACATAAAATTGTTCTAAAATTATTTCATTTTGAAAAATTATTTAGTCATAGAATTAACATTAAAAAAATATTTAATATTTATTTGATATTTATTTGATCTTGATTACCGTTAATAATTTAAATGCATATGTATTCTAACTTTCATGAAGTAATCAACAAAATATTAATATAATAAAAATTAAATATATTATTATATATAAATATATACGTATTTATACATACAAGTATTACATTTTATTTAATATAATGAAAAAATTATTAGTATTTTATTATCTTTATATTGGAAATCAGACTTAATAATAAAAATATATCCCCTCTCTTTTAATTTAGTAAAATGATCATGTGATAGTATTACTATTAAAGTGTTCGTTGCAATATAGTATAGTGTAGTATATAGCCTTATCATAAATATGTTGAACTAAGTTTTGGGATTATAATAAGGAAATTATTAGTTTAATCATGTCAATATGTAAATTCTCTCGAGTATTATTGCAAGAAAATTCAGTGAAAGAGATTCAATCACGAATCACATGACGAAAGCGTTATTGACTAAAAACTTTACTTTTTAAAATAAGATACCTTTAGGTTATGCACATCAGCTTATCTGTCAAATATCTTATAAAATGGAGAAACACATGCATTTATGGAGAGGTGTTGATAAGTTATCATATGCTTTTGGTGACAAACCGAATGGTATAATTTGTAGGCTAGTTACTATTAAAGATCACATTTTTATAGCAACAACTACTAATAATTTATATTATGGAGAAGTTTCATTTTTGGAGAATAGCTCTCCGTCATTGGTTTTCAAAAGAGCTCAATTTGATGTGATCGACATAGCATCCAATTCGGATTATTTATTTATTGTAGATAATAATGGACATGTTTTGAAAGTAAATCCTCAGGATATGACCATAATAGATACAATAATCTTAAAAGAAGAAGTTAAATGTTGCAGTCATGGGTAGGTTTTATAAAATTGGATATTGTTAAACAATAATATTTAAATAACTTATGCTATTACAGATATAAACAAGAAAATGAAATTGTTAAAGTAAAATCAATAGCTGTTAGTGATCAAGCAGCATTATTTGTAACAGAAAATGGACAACTTTGGGCTAATGGAAACCAATCGCAAATAGATATTAATAGTATAGAGCCTAAAAAAGTTAAATTTTTTGAAGGTAGAACTGTTTCTGCTATTGCATGTGGTTCAAATTTTAATGTAGTTGCAGTAAGAAAAACAACAACAGCTTTAAAAAATGATACTGATAGTGAAAATGAACTAGAGGAAGAAGTTTTTGTCAATTCATGTCCTCAATGCCTCAACACTGTATTATTAAGTCCTACAAGTTTAACATCATCAGATACTTGTCCTATGGGACATATGCAGCAATTTAGTGAAGATCATTCAACTAATTCTATTAGTGCTTTATCTGTTGCTAGTAAAGAACAAGAAACTTCATTTGCAGAAAGCAATAAAAAAGAAAAAATTTCTGAAATAGTAGAAAATGGAGAATTGTGTTCCAATAATCCTATAGACTCTGACAAAGAAGAAAAAAAAAATGTTATCTTTATAAATACAGAGGCTGCAAGACAATTTTTAACCAGACAATTATCTTGGGTTTCATCTTATGGAAGTGTTAAAGAAGATATACCTTTAGAAAACATTGAAAAACCAACTAGATTAATAAAACAAAATGTATCTAATGTAGCTAATTTAGTATATGAAGGAGTCAAAAATGTAGGGGGTAAAGTTGTTACATTATCAAGACATATGAGTGGAAATTCAGATATAAATGAATTTAAAGATGATAGTAGTGAACATTTGGAAGTAGGAGAAGAATATCTCAAACCTACTGCTACTAGTTTGGCTCTAAGTTTACGCTGTGAAGAATTTCCATGGTCATCAAGTACTGGTTCCTCAGAGCATGAATTGTCTCAGCAAGGTTTAAATGAAAGAATTAATATTTTAACTCGTACTGGTAATAACATTTTATCTACTGAACTTTGGACATGGGGTGACATTGAATATGGACAATTAGGAACAGGAGATATTGTTAAACGTTCAAGACCTATTTTAGTAGCAAAACTCAGCAATACTGGATTGAGAAAAATTTCATGTGGTGCATTTCATGTACTTGCCTTGACATTAGATGGAAGAGTTTTTGCTTGGGGCAGAAATAATTATAAACAGGTGACATTAGAACCACATTCATATCAAAGTGCACCTCGTTTATTTACCACAAAATTATTTCCAAATGAAAGAGCCAAAGATGTGACAGCTGGTAGTTTTCATAGCTTAGTTATGATGCATCATGGTTTATATTTTATTGGACATTCAAGGTAAATAATTTAACTCTGAAAAACAAAAATAAGAAATGAGAGAGAATAACAAATTTTTATATTGCTTATAAAAAATATCATATGATTTCAGTAAAACTGGTGAAATGTTCCATCTTGATATCGAAACAAATATTAAATGTAGTCCTCAACAAATTTTTAGTTCTGGTAATTACAGTTGCTGTTCTGTGATAAATGAACCTGAAATAAATATTTCTGAAGATTTGATAAGTGATCAAATTTTTTTGGAAGAAATATTGGTTGTTTATCAAAATTTAATCAAACCATTCCAAAAAAAAGGAGGTGCTATGCAAGAATCAAATGTTTATGAAACATTATGTCGATGTTATACCGAATTATTAAGTTTCAGTGCATTAAATGTGATTAGTTTATGGGATTATTTTAATCATATTGGTGAAGCATATGATGTAACAGTTATTGCTAATGTTGAAGAATATATTACTGTATATAAATATTATTTAAATGCAGTGTGTGATGTTATTTCTTTGAGTGGATTTACATATATTGCAAAAATAATTGAAGTACCACAAATAATAACAAATTTATTTATAGATAAGTTAAAAACTAATGAAACTAAAAAAATTACTGATGAAATCATTATTACTATGGCATTACAACATCCATTATATAAATTAAATAGGTAAATATATTTAAATATATATAAAAAATAATAATATTATTTTTTAATTATTGAATATTGAAACTGAAAAAATGCTTAAACTATAATAAAATTAATAAAAATTATTTTTATAATAAATAATTATTTTAAAAACTAAAATTATATTTATATTATAATATATTTATATTATATTATAAAATAACATATTAAAAATATATCATAAAAAGACAAGTAAAGACTATTTGATTATTGTTAAGAAATTAAATATTAAAATTATATTAAAAAATCATATTTAACAATATTTAAAAAATCAATATTACAATTTATCATTGATTTATTATTTTCTATTTATGATAACAGACATTATATTTATATACAGATATAAGAATATGATTTTAAATCTAATGAAATGTAATGGTACAAGAATGGGTATAGAACGAATGCAAGAAGCTTTAATAAAATGGGAACAAATATGTGATGATCAAGAAAAACAACAAAAAGAAGCTGAAACAACTAAATTATTTTGGGAGAATTCTGGAAAACTTGGAGAATTATTAAGATCTCCTGATAGAAGACTTATTAGAGAATCACGAACGCATCCTTTATCAATACTTAATTCTGGAAGATTTTCTACACACTGGTTTGTTTTATTAACTGATATATTTATTCATGTTAGTGGTACTTCTCATATGGTACATCCACTCAAAACTTTATGGATAGAACCTTTACCAGACTCTGAAACAGTACAAGTATGTTAAATTTTATTTTATTTAAATATATCTACTTATAGTGGCAGCTATATATTTACAAACAAATTAAACATAAAGTTAAAGTTTAAAATTATATATTTGTATATATATTTGTTAATCTTTATCAAATTTCATATTTATTTTTTTCATATTAGATATATTATAAATAATTTACATCAATTGTATCATATTAGAATATAATAAATCGTATCATTCTAAAATTTATAGATTATAGATTGATCAATTTATAAATGATTAATCAATTCTATAATTATAAAAAGATTTTTTTATCTCATAGAAAATTTTTCTATCCTTTTTGATTTTTAAGTTAAATATAGAAATCTGTTTTTAGATTAGATTAAATAATTTTAATTTAAGATTATTTATTTTTTTTAAGAGACAAATCTAGCATTATAAGAAGATAAAATGTATGGATTTGGATAGCAGATTTCTAATTCTTTCCAATTCGCAAATAAAGAAAAAACTGAATTAATTCCATATCAATTTTTAATTATTTGAAATCAAACTAATTTCACTTTAATCTAGCTAGATCACATTTTATAAATAATATTTGAATAAAGACATTATTTTATATTAAATAAAAATAGAACAACAAAAATAAATATAATTAGTACAAGAAAATAGAAAATCATATTGCTATGTATTATTATATAAAGTAGAGATTGTATTTAATATGTATGTAAAAAATTTTTATTTTATTGCATTTCATTTTATAATTTCATGAATAAAATTCTAAATATATGTAAATATATAACTATCACTATATATTGATGCATAATTATGGTAAAAAGTTTTTATATCTCATATACCTATATTTTAGAATGCTATATCAGTAATAGCACCAGAAGATACATTTGTATTATATACTCCAACACCTTTTGATCGAAATGAATGGTTGTATGCTTTACAAAATGCTATAAAATGTAGCCTACAAAGAGTTATTGGACATATACCTCCAGTAGTACGTTCTAGCTCATTCTCTTTCACAAAGCACAGTGTTTTTAAAGATGCAAAATATACTGGTTC